AAGAAATTACATTTAACTGCACAAGAGTATTTACTTTCTACTCTGTCCTAGATTTACCATCGCCTGAATGAGAATGGAGACATCCCCAAAGATGGCTGCTGGATGCCTCCATTCATTCTGTTTCTTTTTTAAATATTTCATTTATTTTATTTATTCATGAGAGAGAGAGAGAGAGAGAGAGAGAGAGAGAGGCAGAGGGAGAAGCAGGCTCCATGCAGGAAGCCCGATGTGGGACTTGATCCCGGGGTTTCCAGGATCAGATGCCTCCATTAGTATAAGAGAAAGAGCAAAGGAAAGCATGATGGTTCATTTTATGTGTCAACTTCCCTGGGCCTTGATATACCCAGATATCAGATTTCAACATTTTTTTCTGGATGTGTCTATGTGTCTATGAAAATGTTTTGTGTTTTTTTTTTTTTTTAGGATTTTATTTATTCATGAGAGATACATAGAAATAGGCAGAAACACAGGCAAAGGGAGAAGCAGGCTCCCTGCCAGGAGCCCACCCTTGATCCCAGGACCTTGGGATCCTGACTTGAGCCAAAGGCAGACGCTCAACCACTGAGCCACCCAGGCATGCCTATGAAGGTGTTTCTTAAAGAGGTTAGCATATGAATTGGTCAGCTGAGTAAAGCAGATGGCCAGTGTCCACGTCTTGTCCTCCTTGTGGATGGGCAATGTGAATGGCGTCATCCAATCCAGTGAGGGCCTGAATAGAACAAAAAGGCAGAATAATGTTGGAACTGCTGTCCCCCATCCTGCTTGCTTGAGCTGGGACATTGATCTTCCGCTACCCTGGGTGCTCCTGGTCCCCAAGTCTTCAGATTTGGACTAGAATCTACACCATCCCCCTCCCACACAATCTAGCTCTTGGGCCTTTGAACTACACGACCAGTCTGTGGGGCTTCCAGCTTGCAGGTAGCAGATGGTAGGACTTCTCAGCCTCCATGGTCATATGAGCCAATACCTTATAATAAATCTCTAGATATTGCTCTGTCTGTCTATCCAACCGTCTCTATCTCCTATTGGTTTTGTTTTTCTGGAGAATCCTGAGTAATATAAAGGTCAAGGTCAAGAAGAACATAAGAGTCAGGGATGGGATAAAGTTTTGTCTGAATGCAATTTTCCATTAATAATTGTAAAGTATAAAAGAAGATCTATAATTTCACTATCTAAATTTTCCATCTGTATATATGAAAATCCACCATAAACAAATTTTATGGCTGAGTTGAGGCACACAGAGAATATAATTTAATATTAAGAGGGGAGGGAGAAGGATCTGGGGGTATTTCCAAGAGACAGGAAGGAAGGAGGGCTGGGGCATCAGGCCGAGCATGTGAGGATGATGACATGGAAGATAAGAAGGGGAGAGACTCAGGGGATGGCCCAGACTTCTCAGCCCCAGGAGGTGGAACCATAGTTGCTCACCAGGCTCCTGTGTGTCCAGCCAGAAGGTCAGCCCCTGGGAAGTGGGGCTGGTTGTTTTGGATGAGTGCTACAGTTTGAAGTGATGGTCACTTATTCACTCAAAATGTGAATGCCAGGCATTGTTTCCAGAAGCTTAAGATGAGTAGACCAAACCAAGGTTCAGGCCTTTCCTTTGTCCTGTCCTGTGCCTCACCACTGCACCCTCCACTCCCTTGAAGGAGCCTTTCTGAGCTCCTGCCTTGGCTTGCTCAACTCTGTAGGGGTCTGTGCTCCCTTTAATCCTCACCTGTGGTGGCCCTGAGACAGCTTGAGCTGACTCCCCCAGAGGCTGCCTGGGGTCATAGGAGTGGCTCTAGGGGACCCACAGTGACCAGGGTAGAGTCAGCAAGACCAGCCCTAGTCAGCAGACCAAGCCCTAGGCCGTCACTCCTGGCCCTCCCAGCACCACTGGGAAGATGAGACCCCAGCTTACTGCCTGGAATAGAGGTCAACCATGGCCAAGCCTTGGTTTGACTTGTAAATAACCCAAAACACAATACCCAAGGGAAAGCCTTAGAAAAAAACATCTGTGTTACGGTGGGAAGTAAGATTTCTCCAAGATACAGAGGCTGAGCAAAGCTCTTAAAAATATTTATATCAGAAACCACTAGAACACACAACCCTGACACATGCATGTTGTGTAGGGAGGTATCTCAGGTTGTGCCGGCCCCTCTGTCTGACGCCTGCCCTTTCTTGCACCCCAGAGGTTCTCTCCTAGGTTTGACCACCACCTGATTCATATAGGTAGTACCTTCAACCGAAGCACAATCTCTATTTTATTTTATTTTTTTAAAGATTTATTTATTCATTCATGAGAGATACAGAGAGAGAGAGAGAGACTGATACAGGCAGAGGGAGAAGTGGGCTCCTTACAGGGAGCCCAGTGTGGGATTTGATCCCCAGACTTGGGATCACACCCTGAGCCGAAGCCAGATGCTCAGATGCTGAGCCACCCAGGCATCCCACAATCTCAATTTTAAAAAGAAATGGAATTTGAGCTTTAAAAGTAAAACCAACCAAATCAAATTCCCTTGTGGCAACCTTCCCATTCATTCAGGGAAAAGGCCAAAATCTTTACAATGGCTTCTGAGCCTTCAGCCTGCCCCTCGGGCACCTCGTTCCTCCCATTTCCAGTACTCCTGATGTGGCTGTCCGGAGAACATTCACAGAACATCCAGAGTGCCCTTCTACCCGAGATCACCTGCACCGGATGCCCCCACTGCCCGGTTCGGTCAACCCCTTGCTTGCCTGGATCACACCCTCCCCCCCAGCAGCTACCGCTAAGGTGTCACCCCCAGAAAGGCCTGTCCTGCCCCTGACCAGGACAGCACTCCCACAACCCTCTGTCCCAACCTTATGGTGGAGGTATTTGCTTAGTTGTTCAGATTTTGTCTCCTTCCACCAAAATGTGAGATTCCCGAGGGAAGAAGTACTGCTTACTGTGTCCCCAGTGCTGGATGTGCCTATCGGCTGACACCCCCTCAATGTTTGTTAAATGAAGAAATAAAGTTCTTGTCCATCCATTAAGGGAAAATAAAGGGGTGGGGACTGGCCAAGATGGATGAAGGTGGTCAAAAGGTACAAACTTCCAGTCATAAGAGTAAGAAATCCTGGGGATGTAACGTACAACATGGGAACTCTAGTTAACAATAGTGTATTATATATATTTGAAAGTTAAGAGAGTAGATCTTAAAAGTTCTCATCACAAGCAAAAGAACTGTAACTATGTCTGGTGATGGTAGTTAACCAAACTTAGAGTGGTAATTATTTTTTTTATTTTTATTTATTATTTATGATAGTCACACACACAGAGAGAGAGAGAGGCAGAGACATAGGCAGAGGGAGAAGCAGGCTCCATGCACCGGGAGCCCGACGTGGGACTCGATCCCAGGTCTCCAGGATCGCGCCCTGGGCCAAAGGCAGGCGCCAAACCGCTGCGCCACCCAGGGATCCCTAGAGTGGTAATTATTTTGCAATAGGTACATATAATCATATTCCACACCTAAAATGAATGTTATATGTCAATTAGGTCTCAATTAAAAATACATCTTGATGTATGAAGTGCATCCAAAAAGAAGTGGGATGATATTTCAAACATTAAATGAAATTCAAGATTCCATTTATTTGGGGGTATTTATATTTTTCTGAATGTACAATCTTCTGGATTATAGATACATAGTTGAATTTCCCTTTGCTGTGGTAATGTTTTGCCATTTAATTAAACTCTAAGAAGCTAATACAGTCTACTCTTCTTAAAAGCAAAAATAACTTGAAGATTTAAGTATTATTTACCTGAGCCGATGAGAGGCGCATATTAGATTGAACATCAATGATGTATTTGCTTGTTCTCTGAACAAATAAGAGCTGGAAAGACTCACCAATCCCTTAAAAAGTGAAATCTGAAGCACAATCTAAACATGTATTTAAATCTTTTGTTTTTAAGCCTTACCAGAACTTGCTACATTAAAAAAAAAATACAACTACCTATCTTCTCTGTATGCAAAGATATATTTCAGATATATTAAATAGCTAGAAGCAAAGCAAAACAGAAAAAAAGTGCGTTAATTTTTTTTTTTTATTAAGTTAGCTCTACAGCACTGTGGGGCTTGAATTCAGGACCCAACATCAAGAGCCACAGGCTCCACCGACTGAGCCAGCCAGGCGCCCCAAGTTAGTGCATTACTAAACCAAGACTTAGGAAGGGTTATGTAACTGGACGAAGCAGCCAAGAAAGAAAAGATGGAAACGTTAGGCTCCTAGAAATCCATGTTGGCCATCCCGTCTCCCAGAGCAGAGCAGCGTTGGAGGCTCCAGGACTCTAATCACTGTCCTCACTGTCTGTCTTGCATCTAAGAAACCCCTGGGGAAAACACTGAAATTTGACCTGTGGCCAGCAGGGGGCGCTGCGGGCTTGTCCCAGGTTGTCCGCACGCTCCGGGGTCCGCTTCAGGCTCACTGATGGGGACTCCGTGGTAAAGTCCGCTGCACCTGAACTTGGGCACTGACTGCCCCAGCAGCTGCTTCCTGCCTGTCCCGTCGTGGGGAAAACAGGCTCGCAGATCAGGACTGATTTTGAAGGGGGCTCCTCTGCTGCCCCCCCTCCTCGCCCTACAGCTGTGGCCACCACCTAAGTGCAAACAACCAGACCATCACTGTGGGCAGTGTTCACTTTCTTTGCCGTGTTATTTTCCCATTTCTGTTGACTTGCTTCTATGCTCCACGATCTTAAGAACCATTAACCAAAATAAATGCATTATCAGGTTTCTCTAGAGCAGCTTTCTCCTCCTCAGTCCCTTTGGTGGCTTTGTACTGTTTTGAGCTCAGGTAAACCACATTAACAGGATTCTCGTCCCTGTATGGCCTGGCTAGGGTGAAGCGCGGGGAGCATTTTTTTTTTTTTGAAGGTTAAACAAATTTTTTTTTTATTTTTAATTTTATTATTTTTTTTATTGGAGTTCAATTTGCCAACATATAGCATAACACCCAGTGCTCATCCCATCAAGTGCCCCGCTCAGTGCCCATCACCCAGTCACCCCCACCCCCCACCCACCTCCCTTTCCACCACCCCTTGTTCATTTCCCAGAGTTAGGAGTCTCTCATGTTCTGTCTCCCTTTCTGATATTTCCCACTCATTTCTTCTCCTTTCGCGGGGAACATTTATGTAAGACCTGGAAGTTGAATGCGATGCTGTGAATCTGTCCCCCTGCCAGCAGCTTCCATTGGTCACTGCCAGCACCAAGGTTAATGTGGGCGAGAAGATGAGTGTCCGGTTGCCCGTGTTGGGGTCCACAGCTGGCTTTCCTTCCCAACCTGAAGATCTAGATGACTTAGAGCGAGCACAGGCTCAACATGAGAAGAGAGGCAGTAGCCTGCAAAGGTGGCTCCACTGGCTCACACCATAGCATAAGGTGTCATAATAATCCCTTGTTCTGCATGCCTCTCAGTGATTCTGCTTCTCTAGTCAACCCTGACTGACACGCACCTAGACCAGGACCCTCAGTCTACACATCAGGACTTTCATCTCCCTACATCTTTCAAATTAACATATTCCCCTTGGTTTCCACGGCTAGTACCTTCACTCAGCCTCTGGATACTGTAGTGGATCCCATCAGGGACCTGCTTGTATCCCCTCAACACTTGCATTTCTGTTTGACTTTTAGTTGCTATCACCCAGGCACCTCTGGCCACCAGCACCCTCTGGGCCAGTGTACAGGGGAGGACAGGGGTGCAAGAAATTAGCTCCTCCCAGAAGCAGCTCTCACCCAATGACCAATGAGAGTTGATACACAGACACCTCAGCTCTCTTCCCCTTCCACAGTGATATTCTGAGGCGTGTGTTCTAGAATGTTTCCCAGATCTCCCCAGTGAGGTCAAACTCCCGTTGCCCAAGAGTGGCAACTTGTTTTCCTGCCATCCTTTTCTTCCTTGTCTATGTTTTGTAGGATCGCCTCCTAAGTAAGCTACTTGCACTTGATTCAGGATCTGATTCCTGCGAAACCCTAAGTAGCTGGTCCTGTGATAGGTCGTCATAGGAAGCCCATCTTCAGAACGAGAATACAGAATTGAATAGGTCACCAGCCAAATAGATGTAAGGACCTTATTAGGGACCCTAAGGCTGGGTTCCCCAAGTAGTAAGATGTTTACCAAACAAGACCCTCACATGTGGTAAGGGTTGCACTGACTAATGCAAGGTTCAGATGGAAAGGGTTCAGATGGAAAGGGTTGCACTGACTAATGCAATATCTCCAACATTTCAGGAATAGGGAAGAAATGGTCATTATAAAACTGTGGGGTGGGTTAGTTGTTGCTAAATGCCAGCAGAGCACTAGGAGAAAATGGTGGGCACAGGACAGCCAACAGATGTGGGAGCCAGATGGCTTCTATGGCAGTGCTTAGAGAACTTTGCAACCTGTGGCCAGAGGGAAGACCAAGATCTGTGGCTGGAGTAATGGAAAAACAAGGCGACAGATATTACAACTCCGGCATCTCTGACACCAAAGTCAGGCTGCGACAGGGAAGGCATGGGACCTGCGACTTGGCATGGGCATGTCTAGCTGAATGCACTTGAGAACTTATAACTCCGATTCCCTAAAACTCTGGGCCAAGGGGCTTCCTCCTTCCTATAGGTCTGGAGCTTCCAGCTTCACCTGGAGACATTGCAGAGACCGCACCCAAAGGCTGGTTCAGGATTATGCATGCCTTACTCAAGAAATGTCCCAGATCCCATCATTTCTTTTGGACTAATAACCAATGTTAAGTATCAAAGTGGCCTGACTAATGGCTATTGTCTCTGGATGACAGGAAGGATAACTAAAAGGACCTAGGCAGTCATGCCTAGATGTGTCTTGGGGTGTTGGATCAAGAAGAGGATAAAAGGCTGGATGGGGAGAATTTATCAATCCTGGTGCAGTCCCCCCATGATTCAGACCAACTTAGAGTTGGTCCTGATGGGATAGTATCTGAAACTTGGATAAATGGGATCCCAGTGTCAAAAAGATGGGGATGCTGGAACAGAGTCAAAATGGTGAGAAAGAAGTGTTCATGCTACAATGGATTTAGTACAAAGGACCAGAGAAACACCAGTGGACTATTTTTCAGGTGGCTCAGATGACAGTCCCTTCATGAAATGAAGCTAATGGGAGGCGTTGCCCCTCTGGAGACGCTCAGTGGTGGCTATGTATCCTCCACAGGCAGGCGCTCGTGATGGGGATGCTGCATGGAATTGGATGAGTCTATATGAATGAGTATGGCAGGAGTCCCAGTGGCAGCACCAAGCCACAGAGACCAGGTGGAGGTACTTCCCATGAAGGCAGTGTGGTGGCCTCATGCGAGTGCCCCTCTTGAACTTCCTTCCAGAGCACCTGGCAGGAGGGCTGAGAGAAGACAATTAAATGACTGCTCTCAGTTGCTTCATCCAGCTGCTCCCATGGCTTTACTGACTGGGTTACAAGTGATGGACCACTCCTACCCACATGGACACCCCTAATGGGCAACTTTTGCTTGTGGACTCTCCATCCCTGTGGATGAGATTTTCCTAGAACTTCAACCTGAGACTTTTCTTACCAATCCTTCTTTCTCTTTCTCCTTTCCTAGGTCCCCGACCAGTAGTATGATCTGAAGGCTGTCCCCACTGTTTCCCACTCCTTTCCCCTTACAGCTATTTGCTCTAAAACCTCTCATGCATATCTAATTCCATCTTGGTGTTTAATTCTCAGAAGATTCAAACTGACACAGGAAGAAAGGTTGAAATGGCAACAAAGAGACTCTGGTCCACAGGGACATGTGGAAATGATTAATAGGCCATGGTGCACCTATGTGTCAGATGTAGGGGCAGTCACATATGGCTTGACTAATGATTGCAGGTGGGTGAGCCACACCAATGATCCAGCCATACCAATGGAGAGTCGCGAACCCTTCCCAGTTTTGAGATATAAGCTGTTCCCAGATCCAGAACAAATAAATAGGAAAACCAGATGTACCTGAGGAAGGACCTTGCAATATTTCAGAAATCCTTCCCCAAGAGGATCCTCCCATTATTTACCCAAATAACTGCACCAGGAAATGGGAATATCCAGACACTTTTGAGGGCTGTTGACACAACTTCTGAGGTGACACGGAAGGCAGGGCAACAAAATGCCATCCTATTTATTTGCAGGAAACTACAATACAGAGGACCGGTGATTAACAGATTCCTCCCCAGTGTCAGTTTCACACTGTGTCCAGTGGATCTCCAAAACTGGCTGGTGATCGTTTCTTGTTTCTAGACATATAGTTGATATGGACATACTTGGCTAGTAGAATCCTCATGTTCACTCATGACCTGTGGAGTAGGAGACATTATGATGGAAAAGGCCAAATGCAAGCTCCTCAAATCATGCCCCACCCTCACAAAGCCACTATAGGACATCAAAAGCCAATATGGAGTCACCGGGTGGCTCAGTCAGTTGGGTGTCTGACTCTTGGTTTCGGCTTGGGTCGTGATGTTGGGGTTGTGGGGTTGAGCCCTGTGTAGGGCTCTGGACTTGGTGCAGAGACCACTTGAGATTCTCTGCCTCTCCCTCTCCATTTGCCTTCCTCCTGCTCTCTCTCTTTCTCTCTGTCTCTCAAATAAACAAATAAAAATAAAATCTTTCTCAAAACAAATAACAATATCAACAACAACAAAAACTAATATGGCGCCCTAAGTAGAATGGCAGAATGGATTCCCACCCCCAAAACTTGAAGTAGATGCAGTGATCCCCATCTTTTATATCACTCATCTGGTCCCTGAAAATTCTACTTAGATCAGGGCTGAAAATGGTGGTAAACTTAATCAAGCGGCAGCCCTAAATTGTTCCAGATGTGGTATTACTGGGACAGCTCAACGTAGCACTTACTGTGTGAATTTTTTTCACATCTGGTGTACTGAGATGTAATTTAGATATATGAAAATGCGTCTTATTTAGTGTACAGTTTGGAGTTTGAACAAATGCATTCAGTCTTGTAGCCACCACTGCAATCAAAATATAGAATAGTTCCATCACCCTTAAGAACACATCATGCTCCTTTGTCACCACCCCCATCCCTCCACCTGCAACCCCTAACAGCCAACTGGTCTCTCTTTTTTTTAAACCCTATAATTTTGCATTTTTAGAGGGTCATGTAAATGCAATCATACAACATGTAGCCTTTTTTGAAATTGTCTTCTTTCACGGTCCCTACTGCACTAGCGAAAATCCATGTCTTGCATGCGTCAGTGGTCATTCAGTCCTTTATGTGGCAGAGTTATTATTCCATTGTATGAATGTTCTAGTTCGTTTGTCCATTCACCAATCAGAGGACAATTCGGTTAGCAGTTTTTGGTGATTATGAATAAAGCCACTATAAGCATTTGTGTGAAAATATGTCTTCATTTCCCTTGGGTAAATGCCTAAGAGCAAGTTTGTTGAGCGGTAAGTAAATGTAACGTTTAACTTTATATGAAACTGTCAAACTGTTTTCCAAAATAACTATCATCATGCAATGCCTTTAGTAATGTGTGAATGTTCTAGTTGCTCCACGTCCTTTTAAGCACTTCGCATTGTTAGATTTTTTATTTTAGCTATTCTAATGGATGTGTTGTGTTATCTTGTTGTGGTTTTAATTTGTGGGTTTCTGTTTTGTTTTTAAAAGATTTTATTAAAAAAAGATTTTATTTATTTGAGAGAGAGAGAGAGAGCAAGAGCAGGGGGGAAGGGCGGAGGGAGAGGGAGAAGTGGACTCCCTGCTGAGCAGGGTGCCTGATGCCGGGTTCCATCCCAGGACCCTGAGATCGTGACCTGAGCCGAAGGCAGATGCTTAACCAACTGAGCAACCCTGGAGCCCCTGTTTTGTGTTATTTTAACTGGGCTCCACACCCTACATGGAACCCAACATGAGGCTTGAACTCACGATCCTGAGATCAAGACCTAAGTTGAGATCCAGAGTCAGACACTTAACTGAATGAGCCAGCCAGGTACCTCTAATTTGTGGTTTTAATTCTCTAATGATTTATGATGTTGAGCATCTTTTTATGTATTTGTTTGCCTTCTCTATG